GAGAGAGAGAGAGAGAGAGAAAGAGAGAGAGGGGGGGGGAGAAAGATATAAAAAGATAATGAGAGAGTATATACGTTGCCTTCCCTCCGAGATGTATTCGCGCCGAATTCCTCATAGTTTCTCGCGAGACAATATTTTTTTCCGACGCGACGGAGGGGCCGAAGCGATCGGGAGGAAAGGACTCTCCTCGACCCGAGGAATTACCTACCGTAATCCGAGATATGAGAATTTTTCAAGTGGTTTTAATCATTCGACCAACAAACGGTTCTAATATTCTCGGACAAATCGTTGCAAGTCGTTGCACAAACCTCGCCTAGCAGTCGCGAAATTTAGGCTCATTTTCATAATATATATGGTTAACGAAAAGATTAGGTTAACTTGAAAGTTAACTAAAACACACTTTCATATAAGCTTATAGTCAAATAAACTAAAGATTTACGTGTACATCAGTTGAGTTGGCATCAAGTTATCGTGATGATTAAGTTCTAATAAAACGTCCGTTGTTAAACAATAAACTTCTTGGTAATTTTTAACCTTTAGGTATGTAATCATACATTGTGAAAATGGGCCTTATTAGCATGTTACGCCCTTGCGCTCCCTCCACCGCGTGCGCCGGTTACTCCAAAGCTGTTTTTCGACTGCGATGCGCTCCAGGATCGGACCTCTCTCTCTCTCTCTCACTCGTCACTCTGTAGTAAACAATAAAATTTAACGCACGGCGATCGAATTTTTGTTTCGGTTTCTCTTCGTCTTTTATCGACGAAATGCTTTTTGCGCGCGAGCGTCGTAACGTAATGTAACGATAAAACGATGGTGGAATATCTTGTTCAATCGATACCGCGTGCACCTTTATAAATTGCTATCCTAGCCCATTAGTCAATACGTAGGTTGTATATAAAAAAAAAATCTCCGGAACGGCTGCAAAACGTTACAAATATTTTGCTCGCGTATTTGCCGCCGTCGAATTACAACGCGACCGTCATTAGAACGGCCATTATTTCGCGTAACGCAAAAAGCGTGCGCGCGTGGATGATGGCGAGTTTTCACAATATACATACATACAATTCTTGCTTACTAATTAACGAACGGCCGCTGGCGAATTTTAGCGATAAAAACATAAACGATACGAAAGTAATTGGCATCTGTCGCGGCTCGTTCACTCGGAGACAAGCGCGCGCCCAAACGTTGAATTTCAAAATCCACTTCTCATTAGCGAATTGCGGAAGATTTTGCGCGCTTGTCGAACTTGCTACGATTCTTTCCAAAGTTTCTATTAACAAAGCTAACAACGCAGAGGCCCTCGTTACCGGGGGGATAAACTCGATCTTTAGCGCAACTCCCCCGGCGTGAACGTCTACTTATTACCGGAACAAAAGTTCACTCGAGGAGAAAAGGAGAGAGAGAGAGAGAGGGGGGAGGGGGGCAAGAAAAGGAGCGAAACGCGCGTCATTTTCTAACTCGGCGCGTTCGTTTGACTGATGTCGCTCCGAAATAGCGTTTGGTTTTCGAATCGTAAATGGAGGTGCGTGTCCCTTTAAAAACAGCGTGAGGGGTGAAGGGGAGGGAAGGGGAGGGACAAAACCGGTTTTGCAGGATTGTCTGAATTTTTTAAAAGTTCTGATGTTTCTCAATAAAATAAAATAATGTCGCGGTACGAGAATGAAACAGACGGCGTGACGCAAAAGAGAGGAAACTGCGAACCGCGAAGTCGAGTCTATGTAACGCGAAAGCGGCGCACTCGAGAGGGCCTCGATTTGAACACCACTGGCTCGACGAGACGCCAAGAATGCGAGAGTGCCTTCAATAGCGGCGTAACACTTAACGCCTGGTGGAGGGAAAGGCAGGCGCGCTTTTGCCTTTAGTCGCACGATTGCCGTGTCTCGACGACGATTATACGCGTGAAAAGAAAAATACAGGAAAAACGAAGCAGAGAGCGTCTCTCTCTCTCTCTCTCTCTCTCTCGGCTCTCGCGGGATGCAAGAAACGGCCGCCTCTCCTCTTCCTCCCTCTGTCCACCTCTCTTGTGCCGCATCGCAGCCGCGTGTCGAAGAGAGCGCAATGTATTACACTTACCTCGGTAGCAGCGTCGCATCCCGCGAGGATCACCACGGCCGTGCTAACCAGAAGTATCCAGCGTATCCTTAGTCGCATCTTTCTATCCCGTGATCCCGACGATGGGGCCCCGCTCGCCCGGCGGCCGTCTCGTATGCACGCGCACGAATTCACGGGGGGGAACGAGGAATGCGGCAGGCGCAAGACGATGTTCCGCGTAAGACGACGGCACGCGAGGGCAGTATACCCGTGATAAACGTCGGGACGGACGTACCACTCGAAGGGAGAGGGGAGAAAAAAAAAGATCTCCCGGAACAACAACGCGCGACACACACCACACTGATCGATGAACCGCGAGACACTGGGCGGCGCGACGATCGCCCGCTACCGTCGACCAGACCGACCTGACTGGCCGCCATGCTGCCTCGCTGCGCCGCGCCCGCGCGCGCCGCCATCTACCATCGGCAAGTCGAACTCGCTGCACGACGGAAGTACCACGCGCGGCACTCTAGTCGCTAGCGTCTAAAGCAGGGTTGTGCATCTACGCGTAAAATATAAAGACCGGTCTACAATTGCGTAAGCATAGTTGCAAATAGTTGTAGTTGTAAGAATATACCAATCACAATCGAATTTAAGAAGAATATTCGACTGTAATTCATCGGTTCTTACAACTACAATTACTTACAACAACATTTACGTAATTGTAGACCAGGCTTAATACTCTACGTTTACGTGTAGACAACGTAAACTATTGTAAAAGTGTCATCTATGTAGACAGTCAGTAGATTATATATTTATTCATTTAATAAATACATATAATTTAACATTTATGTAAAAAAAACTACCATTTCAGTAAGAAAAATTCTCTGGTTGCATTCTTAATCTTAATCTCATAGTTAAATTAACGTTCAAAATACATCAAGAATATCCTAAAGATGTCGATCTGATATCTTTAGTCTGTTCCTAGATACATTTTGGACATTTCTACTATGGGTAGAGACTGTTTTGTAATTTAATTCTTTTATATTATATATATTAGTGATACAATTTACAAAATTCTACATAGTTTACAAGTCTACATTGTCTACGTAGCAAAAAGACCATGTAAACATCACGTAGATTTCACGTAAATAATCCGTGTAGACGTAATCTTGAAATCTATGGCAGTTTATACTGTATAAATGATCGCAGCGTGCGCGCCAGATTTATTGCAGCTCTCTGATGGTATACCGATACCGACTGTGGTATACTTGCCGCATATATATAATGTATTTGAAGTTGCCAAGAATATACGTCGATGGAAAATCTTCATGCTGGGAGCTTTTATAATATATTATTTTAAATACTCCGAATTCTAAGTGTGGAAAGCTCCATACCCTGCATAAGTTTCCACATCCCTGCTTCGAAGTTTTTTAATTCACTTAGAAAATGTCCATCTACATATGATTATAAAAGTATGGAAACTAATTGTCACTTCAAGCCTTCGCCGTTGTCAGGTCGTTAATGATTGTCTACATAACAATAATGATTTTCTATATAACCTATAAACTACAGTTTATAGTAAAAAAAAACAGTGCAAAAATTATTCTTTTAATTATTTTTTATGTTTCCGGGAAAAAAAGTTTCACATATAATTATATATATTATAATTATATGCAAAATATGTCTATATATATGTTTCTTTCCTTTAATTATTGTTTATGATATTGTTATTTGATACAAAAAAAATGATAATAATAAAAAAAAACATAAAAAATAATTAAAAAAATAATTTTTGAATTGTTTTTTTTTACAAAAAATCAAGTTTTAAGAAATAAGAAAAAATTGTTCATATACATATATACCGCATCTGTCATAATAAATTTATTAAAAATAAAATAATAAAAACTTCATTGTTCATTATTGTAAGAAAAATTTCAAATTCGAAAAATTTAATTGTTATATTGGGACAAGAAGCTTTTAAAAACTCTTGCATTTTTGCCCGTATATCCCATAGGAGCGGATGTACGGCTATTTATGGGCAAGATCATAAAAATTTACAAAGAATGCTTTTAAATAAGACGTAACATAACAATAACTTATAAAATGTATTTACATAAGTTTTATGTAATCATGCTTTATATATAAAATATATAATATGTATATTAAAAAATAAAACA